TGTTTATACTACTAATGTTATATTCGAAAGTTTAGACTTCGAAAATATTTGATTAGGTATGAATAGTAAATGAAAACTACCAATCAGTTATTTTTTACTTTTTAGTGCTTTTGTTTGAAGTCGGTTTTTATTTTTTTGTTATAAAGTTTTTATTTTTCCCTTTTTAGTGTAGACAGTAGTAGCAAAGTAAGGATTCTAACGTGTTAGGCTTGTCAAATCAATCAAAATAAGCCACAACTCAAAGTATCTACTATTAGCCGTTGAATAGTTCCACCTATCCACCTTCTGGCCTTACCATCAGATCAGGTCAACAACACCGAACCACTGTACTATCAACGGAAATAGAAACACTTGCAAAGTTTCAATTCAATATGAAAATTAGACGTAGGTTAAATTCATCATTAGCCATTTTTCCACCCTTAGGGGTGGTATTTTTTTTTAAATTTAAATGGGACCAATCTGGAAGTATACACTTTCAAACAACACAAAAATTGTTCAAATCGGTTAATAAATGACGGAGTTCTGAGGTAACAAACATAAAAAAAATACAGTCGAATTGAGAACCTCCTCCTTTTTGAAGTCGGTTGAAAATAGGGGTGATTGATTTTTCACCTACTGATTTTGAAAAAGAAATAAAATATAAAATACAACTTTTTCTTATATTTCAAATCTCTTAAACATAAAATTTAATGTAGGTATAAATTGCCTTCTTTTCCTATAAGTATATTTTATACTTACCTTTATAGTATAACTTTTTTGCTAAAAATATACGCTTGAAATAACTTTTTAAGTGAATAATTATTTCCATATTATTCTACGGGTTTTACTAGAAATTTATGTGGGACCTTTAAAATATAAAAATAATCATGAAAATCCATATATTGAGTCGAATATGTACATTAAATATTTTTTGGAAAATCTTATTGAAATAGTCATTATTGTCGATAGAGAGGCCGATAGTTTTTAAAAATTCTCTGTCTATCTGTCTGGGAACGCATGATGAGAAAACCACTGGTCAGATTTTGATAAAATTTGGTTATGATGATAGCTGGCTATCCGGAATAACAACAAGATACTTTTTACTGCGGGAAAATATCTCATCTCTGAGAAATCTATACTAAACAGTAAAATAAAACAAGATACCAAGTTTGACATTTTATTAATCATAATTCCCAGTTCTTTATTTACAGAAACGATAACTTATTGAAATAGAGGCAGTGACGATCTTTACACAACATTTATTTGGCATTACTTATGAATAAATCTAAATGATTGTAAATACGATATAAACATTAAAATAACTACCAATGTAGAGCTAAATTTCAATCGATTTATTTCTGTCTAAATTCAGTTCAATTTTTAATATATAGCGCAAAATTAAGTAAAATTTCTATATATACTTCTCTATCCATGAATTAATTTGAACAGTGGAAATAAATCTTCTGAGAGTCGTGTGTTAGTTATCAGACTGGGTTTTAATATGCAACCACTAAATATAGATTTTGAAAAGTCATATATCTTTTACATGAACGAATTAACCACAATTCGTTCATGATCTATTACATTAATACCCATTATCAGTGTCCATTTTTACTATCCAAAGTATAGTGTTTATATTGGCTGATTTGTTTAAATTTTGTATAAATTAATTATGTAATGTAATCCTGAAAAGAAATAAATAAATATTATATCACAAAAAGAAGACAAATTTCAACGAATGTTTTTAAATAAAAAAAAACATTAATCGACTTCAAAATCCCTTAAATATTATTCTAATTTTGAAGTTGGAATGGTTTTTTTTAATATGTTTAACTTATTAATTAAAAAAGATTCATAAAATTGGTTTACAATTTTTGAAGTTATCGATTAAAATGCACACAAATATACAACCGCATTAAGTACCTCTTCTCTGTGAAATAGGTCAAAAAGTAATCGATATCGCTTCAGAAATATTTTGTATTTCGGAATAATTATTAACGATATAATATTTGTTTTAGTGAACCTAAGAAAATAGTTTTCGGAAATTTTCGTTATCTAAAACTCACCAACAGATGGCGCTAGCTTTCAAGCTTTCATAATTTCGAATGTTTCTTTTCAAAAACATAGATGGCGTAATAAATTTGACTAGATTTTAATATAAAGAACATATAAATGATAATAAAGTAAATTATACCATATAAAAACATTTAAATAATGTTGTAAATATAATTTAATGGAACTAAATTAGTGTTTTAAATAAAACTATCTTTTCGGATTATTCCGCGGATTTATTTTGATTTTTGGTTCCCGACGTTTCGAATGCTTTACAGCATCAATGATCACGGGAGAGACTGAGACGTCTCAAAATACTTGGTTACTGGGTAGGCACTGTCTGTAACAAGTATGTGTTTGAAACGTCTATAACCTCAGTCTCTCCCGTGACCATTCCAACCGTCGGGAACCAAAAATCAAAATAAATCCGCAAAATAATCCGAAAAGATAGTTTTATTTAAAATTTCTAATATTCGCGTAAATATAAGAAAGTATTACGAAATTAGCTTTTTAAATATTATATTATAGAATTTAAATAAAATATTATAACATATTTTCAAATATTTAGTTCTGATATTTTATTGTTTTACCCGATTCATATATATCATCATTTACACCATCATATTTACTATTAAGAGTTTAACAAGCAATTTTTATTTATAATAAAAATTACGTTAAAAAATCTATACATATAAATGTATAAATACATAAATTAAAACAAAACAAAAAGAGAATTTTGCCATTTTTTTGAGATCGATCTAAAAGCTCTTGAATTACATATAAATACATATAATTAATTACAATTTTGATTATATATTATTATTAAAAATTTAAATAAAACAATAGAAAATATCTACAAATACTCTTGCACTAGCTCACCAACGCTCTACCTTACTCTATCTATGTCCTAATCAGTATCGTACATAAATAACAAAGTTACTTATCAAAAAAATACATTTTTTTCCAATTTTCAATAATTTCATACTAATTTAGTTTTGTTTGTTTTGTTTCGTTTTGTTTCATTTCAATAATGAAAATATGTTCCTAACAATATCCGAATAGGCCGCGAGTAATTCGAGTCAAATATAAAACGCGTTGAGGGCTGTCTGTACCCCGTGGCTTGTATTTCTGGTGAAACAAATGACTTTATAGCGATTTCAATGTAATATTTTATTAAATATATACAATACAATATACATATAATAAAATTGTAACTGAGCCGAATTCGTACATTATATTTTTTTTAGAAAATCTTATTGAAATAGTAATTATTATCGATGCAGAGGCCGAATCTATAGTTTATAGAATGTTTGTTTGTCTGTCTGGTAACGCATCACGAGAAAACCACTGAACAGATTTTCATGAAATTTGGCATGATGGGTAGCTGGTTATCTGAGAAATCTATACTAGACGTTAAAACATAACTAGGGACGAATCCGAGCGGATCCCCCGCTTGAGTCGCTAGTATAGTATAATATAGTAAGAAATTGTCTTTTTATGATTTTTTTATGTTTTAATACCAATATTTCAGCATTAATCAATCAAGTGAATCGGGTTCAAATCCCGGTTTTCAGGCATATGATATTTTATTGAACTTTCTTAGAGGTATTATATTATATAAGTAAGTAAATCGCATTTGTACAGCAAGTTGAACTGCCTGATTGTGTGATGATAAAGATGAAACCCTTTAGTTATTATGGTATAGTAGGGTTCATTGATATGACGTCAAAAAGGGTTCAACGAAAACAAAACAAAATCACATATATTCTCTTTAGAAGTAATAAGATAATATATGTAAATATGTACATACATGCAATTTTCGCCATTATTACAGTAATATTATTCCACCGGAAGTACAAGCCACGCTGGTGTAACCCGGAAATTCAAATTCTTAACCTAAACGCTAACTAGGTGCTAGGTAACAATTCAGTTAGTTTGCTAAATGTTGGAGCAGTCTTATTGTCGACGTATTCATACGTGTATTGTGAAATCCCTTCGTTCTTGCTCTTGACGCTGTTGGTATCTGGAAATGGAAAATTAACTAAATTTAACTCATTAATTTGTATCTTTTATTAATTGCGTAAGATAATATTAAAAAAGCTTCAAATTGTGTGATTTTTGAGAGGAGCTGTGAAATAATAATATATGTATGTATGTATGTATGTATGTATGTTGTCCCATTAGTTTAGTAGAACTTCGTTTTGAATCTATAAAAATATATAAAACTAGCGGACCCGACAGACGTTGTCCTGTCTACACGTCTTTAATTTGAAAATTTCAAACTTTTTTTAATAATTTTTTTGATGAAAATTATTATTCAAATTGTGAATCTAAACCATTCCCAGATCCCCTTGAACACACACAAAAAATTTCATCAAAATCGGTCCAGTCGTTTGAGAAAAGTTCAGTGACATACACACTCACAGAAGAATTATATATATAAAGATATTCTGTATTTTTTGTATGATAATAGTCTTCAATTGTTATTTGTTGGTATTTTTAGAAATATTATATAGATTTTTAAAAATAGAGCCATCTTTCGGTGAGAACTAATACTTACATATATGTTTGTAACACACCTGGTACATTTACATAGTTTATGAAAAATCGGACAGATGGCGTTGTTAATGGCTAAAATAGTATGCTCGAAAATATTAAACAAATAAAAAAATATCTTTACAGCTTTTAACTAAATATTTTTTATTAAACTTTTTATTTTATTTCTAGTACCTATACATTTTAAAAATTAATTAATTTATTTATTACGTTTATTTAGAATCACTTACAATATTACACACTTGAGTATAAAAAATACAAACTCAAACTGGGAACTAAATGTATTGATTACTTACAATTAAACACAGCATGTACAGAAATAGTAGTTGAAAGCATTGGTCAAGTAAGGCGAATCGATCTTGCATAATTATTGTGAAATGTGTAATGTAAAATTACAAGAATTTATGAGTTTATGATTTGTTTTCATTATAGGTAATATCTCCTGCGCATTTAGCTAGTCTTATTGAGATAGGCGGTGGTGGCCGCGGGCGGGAGTACCTGGCGGCGCCGGGCGCGTGGTGGCGCCGCGGCCGGCGCCGCGCCTTGTCGCGCGCCGCGCCGCCGCACGACTCCGCGCTCGAGTCCGTCACTGCTCGGAACACCTCTTCAGCTGTGGAGGTTATTGCGTAAATCTATGAATTTTTCGGCTTTTCTGTACTGTAATATGCATGTATTATACATATAAACCTTCCTTTTGAATCACTCTATCTATTAAAAAAAACCCATCAAAATCCGTTGCGTAGTTTTAAAGATCTAAGCGTAAATAGGGACAGACAGACAGCGGGAAGCGACTTTGTTTTATACTATGTAGTGATAATAATTTTTAATTCAACATATTACATCTATATTTGTAGAAGATAACAATTTAGCTTTAATTACAATATTGCTAGAAGAAATTATTAATTAAATAATATTAATATGCTAGAATTATGACCGTATGCTATACTTATTGTTTCCTCATAAAATTCATGTTATGATTTTTTGTTAATTTACATGTTATAAGTGAAGTAAAATATGTTTAACGAATATGTAAGTACCTATCGAGTATTTATACACACTTATATTAGACCCTCAATGTTTTTAAATAAAATATAATAAAATTAAATTTATAGAATTTATGCATGGTCTTATTATAATAAAGCTACTCGCATATTGTGCATTAGATAAAATTTCAATAAAATAACATACCTAGTGACGAAGTTTCAATGAATTATCGATACCCAATAAATGTATATAGAAAATTGTTTTTTATGAAATTTCTTATATAAAGAAAATATTACATGTACGAGTATGTGTACTTAATTATTGCGATTGTGTCGATATTAAACTTTAACATCGGCAAGATTTATACATTTGAAAGCCATTAAAGGCTGCAATTGAATTGAACGTTAATAACAAATAACTGAAAACTTTTATTTACCTATTCAGGCCTATATGCGTATAGGCCTATAGGCCTTATATACCTATTAAGGCCAGAAAGGTACTAAGTATTACCCTTAGCAGAAGCGAGCGGCATTCTGTAGGCGGCAGAGCTGCACTCCGCGCACGGCGAGCCGCTCGAGTCCGAGTCCGACTCCGCGCGGCGCACCATCAGCGTCATCGCTCGCGATAGTGTGTACTCGTCTGTACATATACATATAATTTTAAATTAAATGAAATATACTTTATTCGAATAGACTTATTACAAGCACTCTTGAATCGTCAATTTAGCGCGTCAGAGTAGTCAGTCCGTGAGGAAGCTAACACCGACTCGGAAAGCAGTTCTGCTGAGAACAGCCGGCGAGAAACAACAGTTTCTCTTTTAAAGATCAAAGTTATATTGATAAACATAGTAGTACAGATAGCCCGCATATGAGTCTCAATATATATATTAATTTCACACATTTCCATCAACAAGAAACTCTTGAACTGTGTAATAAAATAAGCTTCGCTCAATAAAATATTCTTAATTTTATCTTTAAATTTTTGAAAAGGTAAATCTAGGACATTTTGTAGAATCTTATTATATATGCGTATACTCAGGAAATATTAACCTTTTGGAGTCGAATTTTAGATAAATGTAGAGGGGCTAGTCAAACTTGTGGAGGGATAATATTTATCTGATGATTGTAAAATGATTGCCTATTGGCCTTCCCTCAATTCGAGGGAAATTAAGCTATATCCATCAGTCTGGCCAAGCTCGTGTTCACAGACTTCAAGCGTCTTAAGGAAGTTAGTTGAGGTTTAAATTGTCTGTGACATCCAGGTTTCGTTATGATGTGTTACTTCACCGTATTAGCAGGTGGTAATAATGTCAATATACATATAAAGGCCATGGTAGTCCAGTCAAAGTCTTGGAAAATTGAGTGAAGCGGGTACAAATGTCGGGTCTCGCACCTCTGATAGTCTCACGTGCGAATCTTTTCCAATGAATACTACTCGTCTTATGGTGCAAGAATACAATATTAGGAAACTTGTATGTCTCAGAGAGCCAAGTTTTCGAAAGCGTGTAACCTGTATGCGCGGGTGACCGGTGCGAGTGAGCCCGCGGCGGCGCGGCGGCCAGCGGCGCGGGCTCGGCGCGCCCGAACGTGCGCAGCGTGTTCCCGCCCGCCTCGCCCCCCGCGCCCGCGCCCGCGCCCGCGCCCGCGCCCGCGCCCGTCGACCCGCCCGACATACTGAACGTTGCATAGGGACTGATCTCGTACATTTCTGTGGGCATAATGATTTTAATGTAACGAACCATACTAAACCAAAAACCATAATTTATATAAACGCACAGCAGATTTAGTCTGCCACTTAGACATACTGACAAATTAAGCTAGTACGCTTACCTAAATTAAAACCAACCTAAGGAAAAGTGATGAAAAACTCCAAAATTTTGTTTTATTATTTATGAAGGTTTATCAAAATATGTACGACTATGAAATGTCTACTGGCCAAAGCTTACCTATATCTATACTTTTAAATAAAATTATATTTTAAGGAGAATTGAACATGATTGCTGTAAAACAATTGAAACGTCGGGAACCAAAAATCCAAATAAATCCGCGAAATAATCCGAAAAGATAGTTTTATTTAAAATATCAAATATTCGCGGATATCTAAGAAAGTATTATTATCTATACCATTCTGTGTATTTCCCCAGCGTAGACAAGAACCCTTTCTGTAGGTATAATCTTTTTATACTTACATTATGGACAAAAATCCTTATTACCTACTCAGCTAAGTTTATTTTACCTAAAAAATATAATATAATATACGCATACCCTGTTGTTCTTTTTTGTTTGGATGTTTTATTGGTGAGGAAGTGTACACTTGCTGGCAATTTCTTCTATTATCACGTTTTTCTATCGATTTGTCCTCTTCTGAAACTCCGCTCTGCTCGTAGCCTTTTCTGAAGCACGATGTCGTTGTGCTAAAACGTAATATTTTAGTAACATTTGATATTTATATTATTTTAAAAGATATTTACGAGTATTTATTTTTATTTATCTTTTAAAAATAAAATGAGAGTTCTTTCATCATCATTGTTATCAAATTTTAATTACGAAAGTCTTCTTAAGTACACATTCTCATGTCTCTTATCTACACCAGGACGACATATATAGTACATGGCAAAGAACAGAAGTTTACGTTACGATAATACAAAATATGTATAGGTATGCAAATTACCATACTTAAATGAAAATATTAATAGAACCCACGCAATATGTAAATAAGGAAAAACATCCTGAGAAAACCTGTATGTCTGAGACAACATAACTTGTTCTATAAACATAATACCTACGAGAAGTCCGCTAATTTGCCCACTAATGGGATGTTAAAAAGCTAAATGCGAAGTTTCATACTTTGCAAAGTAATTATTTATTTTTGTATACCCACCTCCTCCTGTAAGCTAGCCCGGCGAGTAAGAGCAGCGCCAGGAGCAAGGCGGCGGCCGCGGCGAGCAGCGCCGCGCCGCCGCCCGCCGAGCTCGCCTCGTCGCCCCCCGCCGGGAACTTCGCGGGCGCTGGGATACGCTCTGAGGGCGATATTATGCTTCATTTGTACGACTTATATGTTATGACAAAACGTTTGGCTCAGTTTGTAGTGACCCTACTCGCTATGCCAGCGGTCGCGGGTTCGAGTCCATTTCTGTGATGAGCACGAATATTTGTACTCCAGTCATGGGTGTTTATATTTAAAATATGTATGTATTTAAAGTTATATATGTGTAGTGTATTAACTATCTGGTGTCCATAACACAAGCAAAGTAAGCAAGTAGCTTACCATGGAACTAGATGCCAAGATGGTACTGTGTGTTAATGTCCTAACATATTCATTTATTATTATTATTTGTAATGCACACATGAAAATATGTAACAGAAGTTTGTGCATTGCATTTAAAACGTTTCTTTTTGTTGTTTTTTTAGAATTATTAATTAATAAGAATTCTACGGTATTAAATTTTGCATTTTTCTGTTCAAAGACATAGTAGAGTTGAAGATCTAATATATATTATGTCTATATTTCAGTACCGTAACAAAAAGATATTTAAAAACAAAATAATTAATTCTAAAACTATAAAATATACTAACTTTATTAAAATAAATATCCTACCTCCATCTTCAGTCAATGTAGAGAAATAGTAAGTAGCAGTGGTACTACCAGCAGTACTCAACGCTACCACTTTCAGATGGTACCACGTCGCCGGAGTCAGATCGCACATGGTCGTTGGATGAACGTCCAATGACACTGTTTCCGATCTCCACGCGGTCTCCTCAAAACTCTTGATCGAGACCACGAAATGTATGAGAGGACAGCCATTGCTGTCCCACGTGAGAAAGTTCAGGCGAACGCAGGTACTGTTGCTTGATATAAGATGTTTTTCCGCCGCTGGTTTTGATACTGTAATAAATATACCATATATATAAAACAAAGTCGGATTTGTTACAACACTCATAACTCGAGAACGGTTGGACAGACTTTTATGATATTTGTTTTGTTGAATATGTCTTCACCCCGAATAGTAGAATAACTATTAAATATCGGATAAATTGACGAAAAAAAATAATGAAAAAAATATATATTCCATACTAAGCGTCTAAAGGTACCTAGGGACCAAATTGAGCGAAGCGAGGGTGAGTCGCTAGTTTAAATAAACTACAGACAAAAATTCAGAGTTGGTTCTAAATTATTATCTTCTTCTATCACAGAATGGTTCTGTTTTGTTACGTAATTAAGTATCTAGCTTTATAATATACCTACTTGCATTGCCCGCGGCTCCGCCCGCGTTCAGATGACCAAAATCCAAATTCTTAGGTTTTACATATTAGTATACTTTTACATTGCTCTTTTTGTATTTTTTCTTAGAAATGAGATATTTTCCCGCGGTAAAAAGTATCCTATACGTTGACTCGGATAACCAGTTACCATCATACCAAATTTCATCAAAATCCCTCCAGTGGTTTTTCCGTGATGCGGTAACAGACAGACGGACAGACGGACGGACGGACAGACAGACAGACAAACATTATAAAAACTATAGATTCGGCCTCTGTATCGATAATAATGTCTATTGCAATAAGATTTTCCAAAAAATATTTAATGTAGAGATTCGGCTTAGTTAGTTAGTTAGTTTTTTAATCATTATTCTACATCCCTAAAATTTTATAGTGTAATTATTATTTGGTTTTTAAAGTAAGTCTGTCTGATACTGAAAAAAATATGAAAAAAAATCCAAAGCCAACATATCTAAGAGCAACATAATTCATAAAAATGCTCAATTTTTTATGCAGAAAAATAGTGTAGCCCAGTTTGTGGACAGCTGTAGCAGCCCAGTGCAAACGCGTTAACTTGAAAAACCGCTTCATTCAGATTCAAATCCCATGTCTTGTATTTCTGATATTTACATGAATAATTTCCAACATTGGGCTAATTCCATTATCATCATCATCATCGCCGTTTCAATTAAAAGAGTTGAATATATGCAGAAAAAATCAATAATCTCACATCCACCACTAGTAGATGCAGTGAGCAGGTCACTGGGCTCGGAGGCGCCGGCGGCGCCGTGCGCGACGAGGCGCAGGCGGTAGCTGGCGCCGCACTGCAGCCGCCGCAGCGCCAGCGCGCGCGCCGCGCCGCCCGCGCGCGCCCGCTGCGGGGCCGCCGCGCCCTGCGCGTACTCTAGCGTGAAGCCTGGAATGTGTTTGGTTTATTGGATATTTAAGAATAAGATTAGTTTTTTTGTTCTTAAGAGATATGAGTGAAATGAAATAAAACTAATAACAATTTAGGGTAATATAGGTCTAATTGTATCCTTACTGTTTTAGATTTTTTGTTTACGACTGTTTTTACCTGAATAAATAAATAAAAAAAAAAGTGTGTGATAGGTTTGCTCTTCTTAGTCGTTACTGTCTTGACAGATTGGTCATGGTCATAATTTATGTGTTCGTCTCGCGTTCAAAGGTTTGCTCGGTGACATTAAAAAATGCTTTGAACACCTGTATTGGCTGTGAACACATACTATGAGCGTCGCTGGCGTCCCAGGCCAGCGTGAGCGCGGCGGGCGCGGCGGCGGCGAGGCGCAGGCGCGGGCGCGCGGGCGGCGCCGCCACGCGCAGCTCCCACACGCCGCGCTCCTCGCCCCACGGGTTGCGCACCGTGCACGTGTAGTTGTCGGACATGCTCGCTTCTAGCTCTGGTATTGTTTCATTATGGTAATTAACTACTCGTTACTGTCTATTATATATATTATGGTTGATTGGTCTGAAATGCTTGTATTTATAAAATGAAAGAGAAACGTAAGTAGGTATATAATTGAATCAACTACCAAAAAATTTGCACATTTTTCATTGTTTGCTCAAAATAACGTAATACAGTGATAAAATTTTAATAACGCTATTTGATTACCAGAAAACCTCCTTAATATATTATGTAGGTAAAATATTACATTCATTCTTAAATTCACTAAAAGGCTATGCACAATCTATAGTGCTGCGAGCACTAAAAATATTTTTTTTAATTCATCAAGGGTTGAAATTGCACTAGTATATCTATAGTTAGCGCGCATAAACAAGCAAACAAACGTTTAATCATACTCGTACATGAATGTTGAAATAAAGATAATGAAACTCACTAGGTATGAGCAGCCGGTGTCCCTCGAGGCGCAGGCGCGCGTCGGCGGCGGGCGCGGGCGGCAGGCGGCGCGCCCACGCGCGGCGCGGCGCCGGGCTGCCGGCCGCGCCGCACGCCAGCGCCGCGCGCGCGCCCGCCGCCGCCGACACGCGCCGCGGGAACGACCAGATTTTTGCTGCGGCTGAACAAGTATTCATTTTGTTTTTGAAACTTCTTTAGAATGCTTGTGATTTGAAATTCGATGAAACGAAAATGCGACACGAGAAAGAAACACACACAAATATATAGGTTTAGGCCGGCGAGAGAATGAGGTAGAATACATTGCCATGTTGCCATGGTAACCGTTGTTATTGTCTAACAAATATATAACATTATATTCTTTCCATTTATAACATTCTCAAAATATATGATTGTAATATGCCCAATATGACTTATTTAATTATTGATTTGTTTTAATTTAATTGCGATATTTCCTAAAGAAGTTTTACTTCAAACGCGCGTAAAGGTTACACGCACCCATTTTTTTATTTTAATCTTTATATATATAATTCTTCTGTGAGTGTGTATGTCACTGAACTTCTCTCAAACGACTGGACCGATTTTGATGAAATTTTTTGTGTGTGTTCAAGGGGATCTGGGAATGGTTTAGATTCACAATTTGAATAATAATTTTCATCAAAAAAATTATTAAAAAATGTTTGAAATTTTCAAATTAAAGACATGTAAACAGGACAACGACTGTCGGGTCCGCTAGTATATGTATATTATTCTTCTATACGTATTTGTCACCTAAGTCCTTCTAAAGGGTTAGACCGATTTGGATAAAATTTTATGTGTAAATTTCAGTGGATTCCTGGATGGTTTGAAAATACAATTGGACCCACATACATAAAGCCAAAAAGTTTTTTTTTGTAGTTTGAACGCGGGCGAGGCCGCGCTTACTGCTAGTATTAATATAAGTATTTGAATTCTTTCGAAGACTACCTCTAGAACTCGGTTTCCTAGCGACAATGGCGCTCATCTCCCCCTCGCCGGCCGCCGTCGCCGCCGTCACCCAGAAGTCGTACAGCTGATGTTCTTGCAGACCGCGCACTTCTAACATTTGCTCTTCGTCCGTCTGTGGCACCATTACGTGGGAATGTTGGCCTGTTCTTTTATAATTAAAAGGAAGTTTTAATAATATTTTCGTTTAGAACAGTCAGTGCAGATACAAATGTTTATATATTGAGCCTGTCATCTTCCTATATAATTCCTCTTCCTTTTGGTGAAAACCGTATGAAAATCCGCACAGTAGTTTTTGAGATTAGCCCAAACAAATGCAATCTCAGCGTAGCGGAGTGTTATAATTACACAATCTATTTTTTTGGGTTCCGTACCTCAAAAGGACAATTAATATAATATTTCCTTTGACACTTATACTTTTTTTGTAAAAGGAAAAATCCGAAAACCACGATTTTTTGTTACATCACAAAAAAAAAATTGCGACTATAAACTTTTTTTAATATTTCATGCTACGGAATCATCTGTATGTGAGTCAGACTCGCACTTCTCTTACTTTTTTATACTAACCTCTGTGGTCTGTTGTAAACAGTATAGTGCCTAATTTTGCCATTCTTCTGTATGGGAGCGAGCCAGCTGACTATAACCGACTCTTCAGAGTTTGGTATTGCTTTAATATCGGCTGGTGGACCTGGAACTGTAAAATATCTTAAATTAAATTATTTTTTCGGATTGTTCCGCAGATTTATTTTGATTTTCGGTTGTCGACGTTTCGAATGCTTTACAGTAATCGTAGTCACGGGAGAGACTAAAACTGATATTACTAATTATTAATAAATACTAGCGGCTCACCCTCGCTTCGCTCGGGTTCGTCGCTAGGTACGTTTTAAATAGATATAAAAAGAAAAAATCTTTCTTTCTCACATTTTAATTATATGTTTTAATACTTACCTATTCCGGACTAAGAGAAATCCAAAAATTAAAATATCATAAAAATTGGAACGCGGTCGAACGGGATAAAAAGTATCCTATGTCCTTCTCCTGGCTCTAAACTACCTCCCTGCCAATTTTCAGCTAAATCGGTTCAGCCGTTCTTGAGTTATAAGCGAAGTAACTAACACGACTTTCTTTTATATATATAGATTTTATTTTGATGTCAAATCGCCTTATATTTGTTTTATTTTTCTGTGCAAGTTTCAGTAAATGATGTTACTGATTTAATTACACTTTAGGTATATTAAAAAGTCAACCAAATAACTATAATTTATATATCAGCAGGTAAGTCAATATGTTAGGTTGTGAAGGCTCAGCGGATTTGAATATAAAGCTTTATAGTCAGGGAAATGGACGAATTGGGATGTAGTATACAGATATGTACACTATAATATGGAGTACCCCAGGAACACACCTGAGCATATTATTATAAATAAAACTGGTGTAGTGTAGATCCGGTGGTCCGAAATTCGAGTCCCAGGTCGAACTAAGGTTAGTTATTGTTAAAAAAATCTCAATAACTGCCCGGAGTGAGAATGGAGGCCATGTTTCACCTTCGTACCTCGCACGTAAAGCATTGCAAGCCCTGCACCTAATCTTCCACTGTTGTTTTATTGTTTGTATCAAATAGGCTTCGAAACTACTTAACCGATTTAGATGAAATTTGTTAAGAAGATAGTTTAAGACCCTGGAAAGGACATAGGTTATTTTTTAATTCAGAAATCATCCCTTAAGGGGGTGAAAGTTTGTATGGGGAATCAAGCTAGGGAGGAACCCGAACGAAGCGAGGGCGAGTCGCTAGTCTTAAATAAAACAACTAACCGTCGTCGAGCGTGGCGCAGTAGACGGCGGCGGGCGGGCCGGCGCCGGCCGCCGTGCGCGCCGCCACCGCCACGGAGTAGTTGCCGGCGCGCAGGCCGCCCAGCTGCGCCTCCGCGCCGCCCGCGCGCCGCCGCTCCCACGCGGCCTCGGGGTAGTCTGCCTCCTGTTTGTTGACAGTGTATTTATTGTACATGAATAAATATATTACACATTTATTCATGTACAATAAAGGAATTGATTATATATATACCACAGATCACATAATACTATAATACATATGTATGTATATATAGAACAAATATATACTTATTTTTAATGTATAAATCATATCATGTTAGTATTTGTATTTGGTTATAAATATTAATGTATTCATATATACATTAATAGCAGTTAAGTTAGGTCATTCTCAACGTGCGTTCACCTTGTCGTGGTGGGGGGGCTCAGTAGTAGTAGCGAAGCTAAGAAACGCACAGGGAGGTTGCCCACTTCGGTGGGCGGTGGGAGGTGGCCCTCTTCGGGGGGCGGTGTACCATGCGGGTTGCTCCTGGTACTTCTCTGATAGCAGAGTGGACTGTGGAGCAACCCCATGGTTGTGGTGGTCTGCTTCGGCAGATCTGCCGTCGGGGCGTCGTAGTTGAATGCGTAAGCGATCCTGCGACGCCCCATTAAGACGGGGGAAGGTTTTGTTGGGTTTTAGTGGGTAGTACTGGCTGTGTTACGCCGGTGAGTCCCACACGTCGTGCGTAAATGCATTCCCCAACGTTAAAAAAAAAGGTCATTCTTTTCCTTAATATTGCAATACGAGTTTCTATTGAGAACATATTATATTCATTAAAATAATTTAAAAAAATATATAATTAGTACATCTGTTCTCCGAGACACTCCAAAAATGCTGACTTTCACTTATTATTAGTTAATTTATTATGACAATATCGATGTTAAATTACCTGCAAAAACTACTTACTTACATAAATCTATTTCTATTAGATATAAACATACATCTGAGGTATCTCAATATCTCACTTGGTACATAATTTCGTATCCCAGCAGCAGGCCGCCGCGCGCGGCCGGCGGCGGCGGCTCCCACCACACGCGCAACGACTGCGCTGACAGCGCCTCGCACCGCACGTGCTGCGGCGGCGCCTCCGGTACTGCAGTATCATTATGTTTTATACTTAGCAAACAACCCTCATTTCTCTTGAAATTTTTTTGGAATGGTTTATAGGTGCCTAATAGTAACATATTAAATATTACTCTAGGTCATAATTTATCTGTATACTAAATTACATCCAAATTCGTTTAGCCGTTTTACCGTTAAGGAGTAACAAATATTTACACCTAAGTACATATGAAATTTCACATTTCTAATAATTAATAGACCGATTTAGATAGCATAATGTAACATTAGATTATTTCTAATTAATAAGGGATACCTAATTAGTCTTTATAATGGCAATTTATAATTTGATTTAAGATAAAACCATCTCACCATCTTCGAGCGTAGTGACGGCGAGCGGCGCGGCGGCGGGCCCGGCGCCCGCGGCGTTGACGGCGCGCAGGCGCAGCTCGTAGCGCGCGCGCGGGCGCGGCGCCGGCAGCCGCGCGCGCGCCGCGCCCCAGCCCGCCACCGTCAGCGCCAGCGACGCGTTGTCGCTGCGCCACCACACCGCGTAGCCGACCAGCTCGCCGTTCCACGACTCTTGGGATGGTGGCTGGGAATGTGTTTACTTATTATTATTATTTTTACTATATGTATATTAATAAATAAAAAGCTACTTTAAGACAGTAAAAAAATAAAATAAAACCAGTAAAATAGGTACAAGGGAACGGGGGTCTTCATTTACTATAGATACCTAATCAGATAAAAGTCAGTGATATAAATCAGCGCCAGCCGACAATGTTCTACTCAAATAGGTAAATATGACAAAGTGTTGGTTACACTCTTGTCGTTATAATATTTAGTCTTATAAACACGTTTGAAGAAGCCACACGTTCTTTCTATTGCACCTCAAACAGCCAAACGATATTCAACCTTAATTTCATACACACAAGTTTAATAGTTTAGAGTAACAAAAATAGTCAAGCCGTCTCCGAGGAGTCTTTGAATGTCAGATACAAACAGATAAACATAGATCGCCCTTCTTTTTGAAAGTCAGTTAAAAAGTGTCGTGACGGTCGAAATATTACACTTTTATTTTGTCTAGTTCTCATTCGCTAAGTGTGCCGAGTATAGCGTGCGATAAAGAAGAGAACAGTTACCTGCCACTTTACTAACAACTCCCCCGGCACGTCTGCTTCAACTTCAACATTGCGAGGAGGTTCAGACGGGGCTAAAAGAAAAAAATATTACTTTTCTCATATACTATCGAGTGAAGACTAAATCCGATGAAAAAAATACGAATGATATCCGCATATGACCTTCATAGTAACTTTACATTGCAGAGAAATAAAAGATAGAATTATACTAAAAAAATACCCTAAGACTCTATGCTTAAAGTATAGTTAAAAATTGATTTTTTATGAGTTCACCATATATACTAATAGTGCTGAAATATCAGGAGCTTATACAAGTAAGTGGAAAAACATGGTAAAATGGAAAACCATGGAATACGTACGTTCTTCCAACGTCTGCACTATAACTGATTCGGAGTAATCACTATCCCCTATATCGTTAACGGCGGCGAGGCGGAAGGCGTAGGCGGTGGCGGGGCGCAGGCCGTCCACGCGGTACTCCAGCACCGTGTCGCCTTCTCCTTCCTTCTCGCCTTCTTCTGTTTCACTCTCTACTCTTGCACCCGGTGATTCTTGCCTGGTTATATAAATTATTTTATATTATTATTATTTATAGTTACATAACAACTCAGTGTATTCGTACATTATATACATATCGATGTAGCTATATTGTATAATAATATTATTAAGTTATATGTTGAAATATCGATAAGATTTGAAAAATTATTTTGTACTACATCTTATATTACGCGGCCGCTCCTTACGAACCTAAAGAGCGTCATGATACAAAACTGAAAAGAGCGAAGCCAAGCAATGAATTGAATGGAAAAAATAATTAACTACAATTGAATGGAATTGGCAAATTCTATTTTTATTTCATACTTTAAAATGTAAAAGTTAAGTAAAATAATAACTTAAGCTGGGGAACCAAAAATCAAAATAAATTCGCGAAAAAATCCGAAAAGATAGTTTTATTTAAAATGTCAAATATTTGCGTAAATTTAAGTTTTATTAATAACATCTGCTGTATAACACCTCCAGGTAAATTTCTAAGAAATCTATTGTTAACTGTAACGCCGGCGTGTCCGCGGTCGTTCAGGGATTAATTAAAAATTAACTTAAATTAATTAACTAGAATTAATGAAATGTGTTGGAGCGTGATGGAGTAACAAACATACATACAAATATCCGCACACACATACAAACATTTTCATTTAATATATAATGGCAGTCTGGTATACCTTTGTATAAGTAAATCAGGCGACAGATCCCTAGTGGGCGCATCGGTCCAGTCCGCAGCTCGTCGGGCGTCCCCCACCACGCGGTACTGCAGGCGGTAAGCGCGCAGCCGCGCGTTGCCGTCGTACCCACGACGCCACGCTATGTGAGCTGCGCGACCTTCTTTGCGAACTACGGTTAAGCCTCGTGGTGCCTCGGGGAATTCTGGTTGAAAATAAAATAAATAATTTCAATTAAGTACAAGTTAAACACAAGAGGTATCTAATGTAAATATGCAATGTTCGTTAACGAACGTTGTATTTTTATATTCGATTAAAGTTTTGATTGATTCAAACTTAAATTATTTCATTAACAAAAAAGTCTCATTATCATATCTTATAATTTTCAAATTTAAAAATCGGGGTCTAATTATCTAAATGCAAATTCAACCTTACGCACACCACATAAAGTAGTTTTTAAACGAAACAAGGTTAATTTTGCATTAATTTTCTAATGCAATGAACAAAAGTGATTAAAAAAAGCGCATAATTTCGAATTATGTGCATCTTTTTAAAGACACTTTTGAGACGTTAATTGTATATCTTGAATTTTTGTATCAATGATTCATTGTATACAATTAACTGAATTATAAGTATCAAAATGTATACTTTACCCTGTACAGCAAGGTATATAAGGAGCTCGTCTCGTCCATAGGCGTTCTCAGCGCGACAGCGGTACACGCCGGAGTCGCGGCGCTGCGCGTGCGCAATGCTCAGGGTCGAGCTCGCACCGCTCTCTGATCGCTTCTCTGATACTGATATCCTACACAAAAGTTATATAAAAGTTAGTAAAACCAATTTTGTAAACATAGCTCTTGTACGTAAGTTATAAAACAAATATCCAAAGATTATTTTTTATTAATTGTACTTTATAATCTTATGCTAAAGTATTATATAGATGGAGGCCGCCAAAATAAATGTCAAAAATAGTAGCGTGATAGTTATTACAGATATCTTATTTTCTTCAAAGAATAAGGGAAGCTTTATATAGCTATTAGTTGTAATTTACAATATTTTAGAAGAAAATATGAATAATCAAAAAAAAATCTTGACTTTATAATGTATTATAAATTTTTTTTTGATTTTGCGCGATAAATATTATGACTAACATGACCATAATCCCCTAGAAACATTTATAAGTGCTCATAGTATCATTCATAATCTATCCAATAAAAAAAAGAATTAGAAACATCGGGAACAAAAAATTAAGATAAATCCGCGAAAAAGTCCGAAAAGATAGTTCTAATAAAGTATTTTTTACCTGTTTGTGGAGAAAACAGAATAGGATAAAAATGAAAATTTCCCATTTTCCAAATTTATAATATTGTGATGATATATATATATACACATACTTATTATAAAAATAAGTCCCCCGGCCGCGTCTTTCTGTCCTCCTGTCTGTCCTCCTGTCTGTCTGTACGCGATAAACTCGAAAACTACTGAACGGATTTTTATACGGTTTTCAACAATAGAAAGAGTAATTCTTGAGGAAGGTTTAGGTATATAATTTATTATGCTTTTATGTAAATTAGCTGAAATACGGCGACAAATGTTGAAGAGGTCGCAAAAAATCTCGCCAAATGGGAACTTTCCACGCGAACGCCGCGTAAACTAGCAAAGATACAGTTAAGTAATGTACTAGAGAATTCAAAATCTATAAAAATGCTACAAAAAAGTCCGCGATAGCATATCTCTATCTCTTACGGTTGACTTACAATAACCACTTTTATGTTAACATTTTTAATTAAAAACATTACGTTATTTTCAAAGTTATTTTCTTTAGTTCGGTATTAATCCTTATCCAAATGAATATTTTAGTTAGCTTAGTCATTTAATGCAGATTAAAATTGCTCTTTACACTAAATCAATCAGATGAATAGTTTTTGAGATATCGTTGTTAGAAGTAATTAGTAGCGAAACATTTTTAATGCTTGGCGAACATTGAGATGCCTACGGCGAGTCCATCCCCTCTGCCCCGCATCGCTCGACCGCCTGCTCAAGCTATATAAACCGGGCGATGTAGCGCGCGATCCTAGGATACTTTTTACCGCGGGAAAATATCTTATTTCTGAGGAAAAATACAAAAACTGCAATGTAAGAGTATACTAATATGTAACACCTAAGAATTTAGTTTTTGGTCATCTGAACGCGGGCGGAGCCGCGGGCAATGCTAGTACACATATATATTAGAGTAGAGATGTAAGTTTTCTTTATAATAAAAATAATCAAAATGTTTAAAAATGTAAATAAAGAATAGAAATTATAGAATTTTATCATAAAGAAATATTTTGAATAAAAATAAGTGGGAATTTTTCTTTCACCTGTACGTGGAGAGGTCGAGACGCTGCGTGTTGTGTGTCCAGTGCAGCTGTATGGGCGGGTCGCCGCGCGCGGAGCACGCCAGCGCGGCGCTCGCCGTGCGACGTACTGACGTATTGCGCGACGAGAACTCAAAATGTGCTGGTTCTAAGTAAATGAGAAAATATATTAATAATAAAATACATAAAATATTTGAATCGGATTACTAGAAATAAAGAGAAAGAAAGAGATGGTCTTTGAGATATAATGTTAAAATTCATCCCAAACAGCCCAGATGTTTCAGCGTGAAGGCGTAAGAAACACACACACATGTACAAATAAACTTTCCCATTTACAATAATATTTCGATACATAAAAAAATCTAACTTAAATATACCAACCATTAACAGAAACAGTGATGATCTTAGACAGTCCTCGTCCCACGCCGTTGTCGGCGCGACACATGTAGCGGCCCTCGTGCGCGCGCGCCGCCGTCGCCGCCGACAGAGAGCCGTTACCGAGCACTGTCACCGGCACCTCTAGTCGGTTTAATGGACGAAAGTCGGTAGAACTGGGACCTATTGTAAGAAGAACTTATATATGCATATATTGTATTAGATATGTATCAGAGGAACACGGTTATACGTGCTTTTGTAACGAGAATTTACACGTACCGTCATTTAATGCCTCACACATGAATAAAATTAAGTGAGAATTTTAATATTGTTTGAACAGCAATAGTGCATTATTATATGTATAGTAGTATACTATGTTCATTAACAGATCAAGGATTTAAATTCATTACGTAAATATTATATAAGCGGTCAAATAGACAAACGTAATATAAACCGAAAAATGATATTGCCAGACCATCTTAGTTTAAGTCGTGAGGCGGTTAACAAAAAGTGTCGTCTTAGGTTGATGTTACCATATAAAATATACGGGTGAATCGTATTTTGAAAGCTCATAAAAAGTGTGTATATAATTTTTGTATTCAGGCCTTTTTAACGTCCCACTGCTGGGTACGGGCCTTCCATCAATACGAGGGGTATCAGACCATAGTACACCTGGCCAAGTGCGGATTAACATATCTTTCGAAAACTTGGTTTTCACAGACATGTAAGTTTCCTCACAATGTTTTCCTTCACATTAAGATAAGTGGTAATCATGATGTAATAAATAAGAGAACAGTAAGTGATTGGTGGTACCAATAGTACCAATAAAAACGTATTTATGCCTTGTATTTATACCTTGCGCCTTTAACCACGAGATTCTTGGCTCGGGATACCCTTTCGTAGCGCAATGAACGAGAATCTGAGTGCCCAACAACGCTGACACATCCTGTGGCTCGTACACCCATGATGGAGCAACTAAAACAAAATAAATAAAATAGGTTGATATATATTATAGCTATATGTAGGTAGTACTTTTTTAATCGATGTATGTAGGTCCATTAAAATACCTTTAACAGCCAGTCGTGCGGTATGGTTGACCTCGGCCGCGCTGTTACTGGCGACGCAGGTGTAGTCGCCGCTGTGTTTCGACGTCACATGAGAGAAGATTAGGAAGCTGAACTCGTCTAAAGATTTTTCTTGTACCTGTTACATAAAAGTATAGAAAACCATGAGTACAATTCCATAGTTAGAATAAATGTAAATAATAGAGAGATTTAAAAAAATATATAACAGTGTTAGTCTTTCGTTGAGGCAGCAATAAAGCAATGGATTGATGTAATAGTTTAAGTTATGCAAAAAGTAATAAGCTCTGAAAAGAACTTTTAAGATACCTGTAGATTGGAAGGAATATGCAGTCCGTCTTTGAGCCATGAGAAATACACCGGCTTGTCACCAGATGTGATGCCGCAGAGTATTTGTATGGAGCTGCCCTCCACTAAATCAGCCGGAAATGTGAAGCCTGCTATTTTTGGTGGATCTGAAATTGTTTAATATTATATTTTAAAATCGTATACCTTAAGGGATGTAATATATATTAATTATTTACATACATATAAGTATTGAGGAAGTGGTAGCCCAGTGGTAGCGCGCTCGCTTGGGAAACCGAGTGAAGGGAGTTCAAATCCCGGGTCTTGCACCTATTGTATTCTTCTATTTCAACTTATTGCAACAAATGAAATATTTTCAAAGCTTTTCATAAATATGATATACATATTTCATGCCCATAATCAAAATTTACACAGACACTTCTGTACCAGTATACATGTTCCTTTCCACAAAATGAAAGATATGTTCGTTTAACGAACTAAAAATACTTAGCTTACTTCTAACAAATATCTGTACGTCCTTCTGTGCGTACTGCCCGGACGGGGCCGTCACTCTGCAGGAGTACAGGCCGGCATCGGCGGGCTCCGCGGGCCACAGCAGCAGCTCCCCGCCGCCGCCCGCGAGGGCGCGACCCGTAGACCCGACGTCCACTCCACCGCGTTGCCATCGGATATCACTGGAAAATATAATAAATAAATAAATATGTTGGGAAATTAACACCCAGCACCATCTAGTTCCATGATAAGCTACGAGGCTTGAGTTATGGATACCATATAGTTGATACATTACACATATATAACTTTAAACACAATATTTATTATATAATGTAAATTAACACCCATGATTGGAGTAAAAACATTCGTGCTCATCACACTGATGAATGCCCCCAACGGGACTCGAACCCGCGACCACTGGCACAGCAAGTAGGGTCACTACAAACTGAGCCATACGTGTCGTCATATAATTTCACTTAAAATTTCAGGCTAAGGCTAACTTGTTTAAAGTTACATAATTTAGTACATTACTATAATACGTATAGTAAATTAAGTTATACTATAGTTAACGGAGAGCGATATAGTTAAAAAAGAGTCAGCTAGATAAGAAAACAGAATAGTAAAATCTTATAGTAATATATGTATGTATGTTTCCCTCAATAGTATATCTATGTCTTTGGTTGATTTTGTTGGTATTTTCAAGAATAGATATAAATTTTGTTCACAAAAAATTATTAACAAATGATCTAAAGATTTAAATGAAAAATATAAATGATAGAATTATCATAAAATTTTTTTTTTAAATAAAGATTAAGTGGAAATTTTTACATTTCACGGAATATACCTATGTAAATGACGTATTTTATTTTTCTAGTAATTTATCGTAGAAAGCATTATAGTGAAAGAAACTACAGGGGGAAGATTTGTATAAGGAAATTAGGAAGAGGAAAAACCTAAGTTTCAAGTTAGGTCTTCTCAAAATCTAGAAATTCCATCCTCTATCACACACATGCTTCAAATAACAATAGATGTAAACTAAACGGGAAATAAACATAAACGAAACTTATAGTCTTACTAAAAAAATGCACCTCCATCAACCTGATTGGAAATCCGGAGTAAGGACAGTAGATGGTAGTGTTGACGCCCGCCACCACGCGGACTGGCCCGATGTTGCGGATGGACGGCGGACCTGCGGATATGTTTTATATTAAAACTAACTAACTCACATTGTTACTGTGATAACTAAACTAACTAACTAACTCACATTATAGTATCTAACTGACTAAATAACTCACAATATTTTCATAATTTTCCATTATACTGACGTAACGCTTAAAAAAACATTTCATAAGTTATTAAATCTCACATTAGAGATTGCAAGGGGAACAAGACATGGTTTACACTGACCTTTGAAAACTATTTAATTTACCTCACTCATGCTGGCTTTCTCACATTATTTTCCTTCACTACTAGGCAATAGTATAGTTACCGTAAACGTTAAGCCTGGTCGAGTGCTCGACAGCGCCCCTCGTATTGTGCGCGCGGCAAGTGTAGCGCCCACCGTCCTCCGGTCGCACCGACGTTATGTTCAGATAGCTCACCACGTCGCCGTTGGGACTCATAAACTGGGATATACTCCTAGAAAAAACATTTATGGTTAGGAAAGTTATCGATAGATAGAGTATTAATGTAACCCTTTCAAATATTTTTTAAACTGATATACTTGTATATTCTTTACACACAAAAAATACAATATCACAAAATTAATACTGATATAATATGTTATTTATAAAAAACAAATACATATTTTTCCTTAAAAATTATTGTACACATCGTGTACAATATACATACACACATATACAACATATATACAATGTTTTTTTTCTATGATCATTTCTTTTCAGTTTCAGAACAATTAAAACCTTCATGGAAATTTTTTAAATAATTCCATGGGGATTCTAGTTGATAGCTACGCATTTCTTGAGCAAATTCAACAGATTCGTATACTATTTTTTTTAATTCATCATCATATCGAACTTCAATATAGCCTGTGAGGGGAAAATCTTTTCGGAGAGGATGTCCTTGAAAACCGTAATCAGTAAGAATTCTTCTTAAATCAGGATGATTAGTAAAAATTATTCCAAACATATCGTATATTTCTCTATAGATGCCCACGTGTAATAGTAACAAGAACGATAGAGCTACATCCCCCCTACAAATCACCATTGTAATTATTTTGGCAAGAAATTAGCCAGCTTTTTTCTCACTGCTGGATTTTAAGACGAGATGCTATGTCTTTTAATAAGTATTTACATAGCATTTGACTTCATCAAACAAGTGTTTTACCCCAAATCATATAAATGAATACGATATGATAATTTAGCAGTTCAATCCGTTACACCTTTTCGCTCACGTTAAATGTTTGTACATATATAGCTATATAAATATTGATATATGTTTCTATCATATTGGTTTTACCTTTGCGCAGTGTTGTGTTCCTCTACCGGCTGCATATCGAGTAGCCATGTGAAGCGTGGCGATGGCGAGCCTGAGGCGGAGCAGTGGAGCGCGAGCGCCGGGCCCGGGTGTAAGGCTTGCTCGATAAATGTGTAGTGTAGCTCTGGGGCCGTGTCTGCAATATTTAATGTTAGTTGACTTTAATGGTGAATATTAATTATAAAATAAATAAATGTTAATATTATGAAACACGAATTTGTAAGTCGTAATAATGCTGCTGATCAATTTTGGCTACGGCGTCCAATCTCACTAAGACAAGCCACATGTCTGACACAAAAGATAATATTATAGTATACAAGAGTATCCGCAGACACAAGTGCACTCTTTTATTCCCTTTTTATATTTACGTGAACATTTGACGTTTTAAATAAAACTATCTTTCCCAATTTTTTCGCGGATTTATCTTGGTTTTTGGTTTCCAACGTTTCGAATGCTTTACAGCAATCTTGGTCACGGAAGAGTTTCTCCCAAAATAAATCCGCGAAAAAATCTGAAAAGATATAAAATCAAACTCATACATCAATCATACATCAAACACATACAACTGGTGAGTGATCTCTCCAAATTAAGGGGTTGAAACACCGTCAACTTATCAACTCAGGGCTGTTACTGACAACTTCTTTACAGAAAAGCCCCATAATTACTTGGCCCGACGCGGGACCAAACAAACGAGGCAATTAATATGTGTCGTAATACTGTGTTTATGGAAGTAAGAATCGATAAACATAATGATTTAATTTTTGTACTGGTTGTATATTAAACTGTATTGATGATATATTTTTTGTTCTTTGTTTATATACATATTAGTATAATGGTAGCAATAAATGAGGAATAAGAAAGTCATATATTATTTTTGGTTAAATGATATTAATTTTTATTTACAGCTTAGGCTTAGAAAATATTGTGTATCGCTTGGTGTGCAATTTTGGTAATATTTCTTGAGATATTAGCTCTCACTTAGGTAGTAATTAGAGACACAATTTTAGCAATAAAGTAATATTTAATACATAACCAAACTAAAGATGTATGAAAACAGAATAACCAAAAAATATTTTTAAAAATACTGTAGGTACGGTCATCAATTTTCATAAATTTTCAATTTTTTCATACTTGCCCTCATCTATACATGTAAAATGTGTCCAGACGAGGCTATAAATCAAGAGTGTCAAAGCGGAATCCAATCAACGCTTCGAATGTTGGGTAAACAAAGAACCAAACGATGTGCGGGCATCGTCCATCACTCTTTTGTAGGCACATATTAGCAGATCCTATGTAATAATTAAATATGTTTAATTTTCGTTATATAATATACTAGCGACTCACCCTGGTGTTTTTCTCTACGCCAAGCAAATTTTCATCCCCATTTTCACCCTCTTAAGGGATGATTCCTGAGATTAAGACTATCATATGTCATTACCAGTGTCTCAAACTATCGTCTTACCAAATTTCATCTAAATCGGTTCATTAGTTATTCGCAAAATTAATATGGCACTTTAAAAATTGTTCTTCCTACATTAATAAGAAAGAAGTATGAAAATTAGTTTACAATAATTATCTTATATTTCGTATTATATGTATGTATTCGGCCCTTTTTAACGTCGCACTGCTGGGGACGTGCCTTCAGTACGAGGGTGATCAGGCCATAGTCCACCACGCTTTGGTTGGAGGTTGGCGGACTTCATCTGTCTTTTGATATTTGCTAGGTTATTTCAGTCATGCAGGTTCCCTTACGATTTTTCCTACAACGTTAAGACACGTGACAGTCATATTGGAAATGATTCGCACATGAACATACCAGAGATGCGAGACCCGGGATTAGAAGTTAGAACCCACGTCACTCAGTTTCCAAAGCGAGCGCGTTACCACTGGGCTACCAATACCTTAAGGTATTTCGTGTTACATAGACATAAATAAAATCATACACCCAAAGCAAATACCTTTTTCATTGTCGAAGTCAATAAGAAATACATACATAGAGAACAACAAACCAAATAGTTTCGCAATCGACGATATAACTCAAAGCATTTGCAGCGGCGAGTAAATGAGCTTGACAGAGGAATTATGAGGCAGTAAATAACAGCAACGGTCGTGAACACTTTATTGTGAAACCGGACGTTGACACGCTATCTATTTAAGTTAGCTGGAAATTATGAAATGACTTCAGCTCTATGTGCTTTTAATTGGCGGTGGAAATAAGTTAAAACCCAAAATATTCTTAACTAGTGGCTCACCCTCGCTTCGCTCGGGTTCACCTCTAGAAAAACAAAAGCAAACCTATCCTACGGGAACCGTACATTTTTCCAGGATAAAAGTAGAATATGTGTTATTCCAGACTATAATCTATCTCTGTGCCAAATTTCATCCAGATCTGATCTACCGTTCTGGCGTGAATGAGTAACAAACATCCATAAAAACTTTCACATTTATAATATTAAATATTGAGTATTGATTGTATTTAATGAAGATTTTCAATTTTTAGGTATTTTTCAAAAAAAAAGAACAGTATAGTACAGTATAGTAGCTCAGTGGCTTTATGGCAGTCACACGCTTACTTGGAAAAGTAAGTAAAACGGGTTCAAAATCTTACTATCACACCACTAAAATTTTCAATTGAAAAGCATTTTCAACACAATTACCATATGCCTTACGATGTTTGGATACATCGTAGGGAAGCTAACGTCTGAGAGAACTGACCAAGTTTTCGAAAGACAAGTGAAGTCTGGCAACCCGCATTTTGGAATTTGGTAGAGAAAGAATTTGGTAGAGAGAAATCCTCTCTCATTAGGAGAGTTTCTAACAGTGCTCAGCAGTGGGATGTTTAAAGAGCTGAATTATTATTATATTATCTAACAATAAAGTACACCGATTTCAAAGGCACTAAAAACAACGTTTCCATATGCAAGGTACAAAGTATGGAATAATAATATATAGTTCGTACTATACCTATATAGTAGTAGTGTTATCTATCTATACATATAATAAAATTGTAACTAAGCCGAATCTGTACAATAAATATTTTTTGGAAAATCTTATTATAATATTTATTATTATTGATACACAAGCCGAATCTATAGTTTTTAGAATTTTTGTCTGTCTGTGAATGCATCACGGAAAAACCACGGGATTTTGATGAAATTGTACTTTCTTCCTTGTATTTTATGTACGTTATTCATATAATATATTACGAATGACGTCGCGTAGCGCAAAAAAACATACACTTTATTTAATTACTTCGGCCTTTTAAATGTCGGTCACAAACAGGGGGTTGCGTGCGTAATGGTAATAGACCCGCCTTCAAATCTGCAGACAAAATGCTGAGAGCAAGTGAGATATAAATTGAGAGAAAGAGACTAATACTTGGTTTGAAATATTATATTATGTACATGAATGAGGCTAATAGCTCCGTTTTTTATCTAGACCGTCTCTACCAATTTTATTATAACTGTAGATATCCAAAAAAATATCAGATATATACAAACACTGGCGACTCACCCTCGCTCCGCTCGGGTTCGTCCCTTACGTTTTAACGTTTAGTATAGATTTCTTAGAGAGTAGATATTTTCCCGCAGTAAAAAGTATACTAAATGTTGACTCAGATAACCAGCTATCGTCATACCAAATTTCATCAAAATCCGTCCAGTGGTTTTCTCGTTATGCGTTCCCAGACAGACACACAAAAAAATATATTTTCTAAAAACTATTTAATTTACAGATTCGACTTAATTAGAATTTTATTATATGTATAGATTTAAATACAATCATAAATCAAATCAAGCCTGAATATAAAATTTCATACAGACTCATATCTTTATCACAATTTATATTTTTCATTATAGAAGTTAAAAATTTAACGTATATAATTATGCCTTTCAGCATGAAAAATTAATGAATACATTAATGTGCATCATAATTATATATATATATATATATATATATATATATATGTGTGTTTCTTTTGGATTAAATAATTTTTAACCTGATTAAATGAAGTTAATTTGACATTGACATAAATAAAATCAAGATATTAAATTAGCGTCTCAAAAATGTCCTTAAAATAGTAGTGCAAAATCGAAATTGTGCACTTTTTTTCAAACCTCTTTTGTTCAATGCTTTTCGGATGACAAAATTAAAACGCACCTTGCTATGTTTAAAAAGGTACTTATGGTGGTGTGCGTAAGTTTGAATTTGTGTTTAGACAATTAGAACTCGGATTTTTGAATTTTATTCTTCGGTTTGACTTAACGTCACATGTCGAGGCCACTTTTCTAGAGAAATTTGTTAGTAAATCTGTATCTATGTTTTTATATGACGATGAAAAAAAAATTTTGTACTATAAATAATTTTTTTTAAAGACTAACTTTTTTTTTAGTTTTAGAACTAAACTAATAGTTAAAATCGATTAACTTATATTTTACATAATTGAAAATCAATGTTGCCAACCAGGGACCCATTTGATTACCCTTTAAAGGGTTTTAACCTGGGTTTTTTTTAAAGGGTTTTAACAAGAAAGTAGAAACCCTTTTCATAGGGTTACCCAGTCAACAGGCTTAATTAAATCATATGTTTAATAGGGTTAACCCTATCTGTTGGGTTAGGTATTAGGTTACCCAATAAATAATGGGTTACTTCATATATAACGTGTTATCTAACAAATATAATGGTACAATTTTAGTCTCTAAAATTATTAAGAAACATTACATATTAGAGTGTAGTATAGAAAACATAAAAACACACACACACATGACACACACACACACACGACACACACAGACACACGATAGATACACACGCATGACACACACACACACACATGACACACACACACACACACATGACACACACACGTGACACACACACACACACACGTGACACACACACACACACGTGACACACACACGTGACACACACACACACGTGACACACACACACACGTGACACATACACACACACGTGACACACACACACACATGGCACACATGACACTCATGACACACATGACACAAATGACACACACACACACACACATGACACACACACACACATACACACACATGACACACACGACACACACACACACACACACACATGACACACGCACACACATGACACACACAC